ACCGTCATGCGGTCGAGATGGACTTCAATGGTCGTTCAAGTGCGGGGTGGGCATCTGGCCATCTCTGCGTGTGCTCTCTCCTACCAAATGCCCAGGGGCACATACTGACGATATACGAAGAGCAAAACCCGAAGCCACCTCCCCAAATGACCATGCAGGCCTCAGTCCAAGACGCCATCTGGGGGGAAGAACGATCGGTGTGGGCATGGGCAAGGCGAAGATGTGTGCGACTCATGGGACAGCCGTTGGTCAATAGGCGTCTCAAGTACACAACAATACTTGGAAATGGGTTCCAGACCTGACCAGTGGGCTCAGTGGAGACCACTTGGAAACAGTTGGGCAACCGTGGTATGACAGTGCACAATGACTACCGATTCCTCCCTTTGTCGTAGTACTTTCCAGTTTCTAGAGCACCGCTGCCCAGTACCCGACCGCCGTCGACTTGGGTAATCCACTGAGACGTCATTTTCCGCGTAATGCACTAGAAGCTGCCCATTATTCACCTTGGGAAGCTTCTCGTCTTCCCGACCTTCCGAACGGACAATTCCCCCCCCCCCCCCCCCACCCCCCAACATGAAATTTAATGGGACAAATTGGGATTATGTATCGAGTATCACTAAAACCTGAATTCCATTACTTTGTTTCGGCCTATTTCATTAGGCCCTCTTCTCATTGTCAAAACAGGCAGAAGAGAGAGACCCTCGATGAGAGAAAAATGCACCTGCGCCCAGAGTGATTCCCGGGCTCCACATGATCGTGGCACGGGGAGAAGCGTGACCTCCTAGGTAGCATCCAGTTCCATACGAGGCAACGCCATGGACGAATCAGATGGCATTGCGTCGAGTGGGTAATATTTCTTTGTTTCGCTGACCTGAGTCTAATGGGTTCCTAGGCCACGGTGACCGGCGCGCTCAATTAAGGTTTGTCGGGGCTTTCTTAGTTCCAGCTCCACCGGTGAGGTCTCTTGCTCGCCATTCAGGGGTATAAGCCTTGTAGTGAGTTTCCTTTTTTGTTTGATTCTCGCATATTTCCCAGCTTCGAGGCGTCGACACAGATCTTGTGTGAATGCGCTATTTGTGGTCTTGGAAACACTGCGCTTGCAAGAGAGCGAAGAATCGACATGACCTTCCGGATTACTCTATGGATGGATAAGGCCAGAACGAAAGGGTCAAATCTCCATGTTGGGGTGGAGAATCGCTCAATGTATCTAGGCAATCTGGCCGACCAGAACCGGTAGTCATGGTGAACAGAGGGTAACGGTGGCAACATACTGGCTGGTACCGTGTGCTCAAGACGGAATATCTCAGTCATCGAGAGCCTGTCGGTTGGGAGAAAAGAGAAAGTTGCCATCGTGTTTTGCCTTGGTGGATACTGCTATCTTGAGGGTCAGGCGGTTGTGCTCGTAGCGATAGAGACCCTGCACTCTCTGAGATTAATCACATACATACATACCATAAATTGGGTATATACACCCGCGGTTCAAGCTGTGTGAGTACATTCCATGTCGTATTTGGGTTCTCCAGCCAAATTTCTGTTGCTTGGCACTATGCCTTTTAAGAGTCTGACCTCGCCTTCTGTACCGATGTGCGCGCCCCTTGACACGCAAGCCGTTAGAGAACTTTTCAATCAGTTCAAGAGTCTAGCCTCCACGGCGGGATATGGTACTACTCTAGCGGTTTACGATGAAAATGCTAAACTATACGGCCAGCTGAAGTCCAAAGACTCCGAGCTCGAAAACTTGATGGGCGAAATAAACGAGCGAGAGCGAAAGAAGGAGACCGCGCTCAACGAAATCGTTCGAGGCCATTGAGAAAGAGAAGGGTAGACACAGAGAGACAAAGGAGCAGGCTTTGTTGCTTCAAAGGACCATTGAGGACAAGGAGAAGCTCATTTCTGAGCGTGACAAGCGCATAGGTGAACTCGAGAAGCAAGTAAAGAAGCTTCAATCGGACAATACAAAGGAGATGGGAAAACTGGCAGATTCGCAGAAGGACGTCACTGCTCTCCAAAATGCCAAGAAAGAGAAAGAAGACACTATCGACAAGATGAAATCGTTAGGTACTGACTTGAAAGAAAAACTCTCTACCTCCAAGAAGAGGGTCAAAGAGCTAGAGGAACAGGTTTCCATGCTTAAAGGAACACTAGCAACTACTCAAGGGCGCCTCACAAAACTGGAGGGATTTGCCGCTGGGCATCATGAAGTGGATGAAGAGTCATTGTGAGTGCCATATTCATATGATCGAAGAATCTATAGAATTTTAACATCTTCTAGGGTTGAAGGCTTTATTGGGCTTTGGGAGTACGCTAAAACCGAGTTATACCCTCACCTGAACGTGGACTTCCCCAGCGAGACTCTGAGGGTAAGCCGTCTTTCACTTCTCGGAACAATAGAATCAGAGGAAGCCTGACATAGCCCGAGGAAATCGGATGGCAGGATATTTCACCGTGGGACAGGCTCCGACATTGTGACTTGGTACGCGCTAATCAAGTCCCTCTTCCATGTTCGAACACATCAGTGTCGAAACAGATGCGGTTTTCCGTCATCCTGGCTATTCTGGCAAGAGAGATCGCCAAACACATTTTCCAGCCAACGTACATCACACCTACGGAAGATTACTTTGAGAAAGCCCTTTCCAACTTGGCCGCTACTAATAGCGAAAGAGAATCTTTTTGTCGATCGATTCTTCTTTCCATCGATCCGGAAACCCAGGCAAGGATATGTCTCAAAAATGTTCAAAGTGCGGTTAATAACGTCTCAGCATACCTGGATGAACTACTTCCAGAAGACCAACGCAGTGCATTTCTTAGAAGCCTAAGCAAAGTTATACAAAAGGCTGTGGATATCCGGAAACCCGTTCAGCGCGCTCAACGGAGATATGTACCAGACTTTGAATCCCCGCACGCCGAAGATGAGTGGGAAGCCTTTACATTTCCTACTGTCGAGAACCCCACTACAGAGACAAACGCCAATCAGAAAAGCCCAAATAACTTCTCGTTAACCGTTTTCCCCCGCATATGTGTTATAGAGAACAACACATGCACTGCCTTTACAACTGTCATACTATTGAATAGCTCGCATTATCAATGGACGGCTGCGGCAACCGAGATGAGCAAAGAGCCACCTAGTCCTACCATTGGACGCGTACTGAGCCTGTGGCGCAAAGGCTCACATAACAGGAAAAATCTGCCTCTTCCAAACGGAGGTCCGACGAAGAGGAGTAAGGTGTGAAGGATTGGGTGGTATCTGACTAAGCTGGGGGGAGGGGGGGCGGGTTGTGGAGACGAAACATACCAGTGTCATCGTAATCGAATTAACGAAGTATTCGAGTTCAAAGTGCAAAAGGTCTCTTTGGAGTGAGAGATAGGTGTTTAATTTCTAATGGAAGTTCTCTATCAAGGACATGTATGCGTACAAAGCTATGGAACTCCATTGACCTCCTGCTGCTCTTGGACTTCGGGAAGGACTACATCAGATTTGAAGTAGAAAATTTGATATCCGTATTACTGCCATAAGTGCAAGATTATACTGAAGAACAACTGAACCCGTCTTACATTTGACTACATGTGCTCATGGTTGGTATACCACACCTGCCAAAGTACAGCCGGTGCATACCTAAACCATTGGCGTAGCTGAGAGCCCAAAAGTGGGAAAATAACGGATGCATTTGATGCTTTCGGGAGGTGGGCTTTTTCAGACAGTCAAGATCGATTTCAGCCATGCCTTTCTTACTTTTGCATTTTGAGCGAATGCGGAGACTGATCAGTCATGATGCTAGGAGCGAGGCGGATAATTAGTCACCCGATGTGTGACGATACACTGTTACCGTCCATGTCTCTCAAACATAGAAGCCAGCGGACTCGTTCTCTATAGTGTCATTCCAATCTTAGGATAGCCTTTAATCCCCACTGTGGTCGGCAAGGTATCTAACCATGAGCTTTACCTTTGACCCTTGTGACGCCGATGGTTATGACTGTTTTGCCTCCAAAGACATGCCAGAAGCTAACATCAAGATATCTCGACAGAACAACAACATCAAGAAACAAAGTAACCCTGTCTGGTGAGTGCAGCCGAATAATCTACCTTTACCTTCCGTCATTTTTCGCAAGTTGATGATCGGTTTCCCAGAAACCAGACAATTATTGTCAAGCAATCAGTACGTTCCCAGTACTACTTTTTGTTCCAGCAATATTGCGCTCATCGTGTTAATCAGCCTTCACGATTCGAGTAAGCCATACCATATCCTTGGGCCTGATTAAGCACATTTTCAATAGTCCATGTTGCTGAGACCTCCAAGCCGCATACTAAATGCTTAAGGCAATACGGATTTGGTATAGCTGATACTCCTTCAAGGTGCGGGGAGTATTGACCATTATCCGGATCCCGCTGGAAACTGAAGGAGGTGTTTGATATGGTTGGAGCGGCAACTCATATCTCCTTTGAGCACCCTAAAGCTCCTCAGGAAAGTCATAGTGTTTACGGGGAGTGAACTTACATGAAGAGATATAGTCATACCCTACTACTACTACTACTACTCTGTGTGTGTGCGTGCCAGTCGTGTTATTTCCTCTAACGGAAACAGTGTTTGCCATAGTGTGTAAACAGTCCTTTATCTCTTTGGTCTGATAAGGCTATAATTGCTGTTTAAAATCAGGACGAAGTGCAAGAAGTAGACATGATCATGATTCTTCTGGCTTCACGGTTCCCGCTCTGAACTATTTGCTGCTGCCGAGCTGAACAGAATGTCAAGATAGCACAGAAATCGCTATCATCATTATGGATGATTGCATTATCACGTATATCACCTTGAGTTCCACCGTCAAGTGTAAGCCGCTGCCGAATTCTAACCCGGAGATTCCCATGTCCGAGGCGACATAATGTGGCCTTTCCGTTGCTGTCGCAGGAGCTTGCTTCAACAACCATACTGGGTGAGAACAATATAGCCTCTCCCACTTGTAGAT